GTTTAAAAAGACCTTAGTTGTAACGCTAGACGATTTTATTCAGCTCAGTGGAGAGTTAAGGAACATAGTAATGCATTTAAAACGTAAAAATAATAATACCTTCATAATGCGCATATCTTCCCAAAATTGTTAGTGGAGATTATCACAAATTTATATTTTTTTTAGGTTGAGGGAAGGCAAGGGGGGGCAGCATCTTGTAATAGCGATTGAAACGTTAGTAAAATGTTGTTGTTTTTTTAGTTAACACAGTAAGATAGTACGCCGGTAATTGAGTTTGTGAACCAAGTTGGTGTGCGAGGGTCGTCTTGTTGACACTACGACCACTGCCACCACTATTTACGGGGAAACTTGGGCGGTCGGTCGTGATATACTGTATAGAGTGTAGGGGATGTCGTTCCCTGCACACGGTGACTGTACGCCTCTCCTCTACTGCTGCGATAAATCTTGTTTAATGTGGTTAGGTTATAAGAGGGGTGAGTCGACCCCCACGACCACCATAACTATATATTAATACCCAGAGCTGCCCTAAGAAAATTCTGCTACAGTTTGAAAATCAATAATTCCAAATTGAACAACAGGACGAGGCTGTTTTGTTTATCCTGCCTGACGCTACACCCGACACCCGCCATACAGGGTGTTTAATCATCATGTGAAATAAGCTTGGAGTGCCTTACCTTCACGTGATCGAATATTTTCCACGATATATTTGTATATTTCTTCATTATTGTACACAGCGGATTGTCAGGCATTATTCACGGCGGTAGAATTTATTAAGAGAGAAATAAATTTTTCAGGAATTTTAATATTTCTTGATCACTTTCTGGGGAGGATGGTGTTTTTTGTATGTGTGTAGGTTTTTATTCAGTAATTGAAGAAAGATTTCGTGGGTCTAAATCAACTGGTGAAGAGCTATTGGTTCGTCAACTTTTAGGCTGTGTACGGTAATCAGTGTTCCTGTGTGTGTTGTTTAACCTCTTGAGTGAGTCGCTGGTCACTATGGGAACAGTGTGTGGTGATCACTGGGCGAGACAGATAGACGGAAAAGTTAAAGAGAAAATGAAAGAAAGAGAATGAAGAGAGACAGGCAGAGAAAAAAAATAACATGGTGGAAATAATTTTACTCCACCAGTTAAAAATGACCGACACTCAGGCGTGACAGTGAACAAACAGTCATCAAAACACAAAACAAAAAAGTACACCTCTGTAGCCCATAACAAAACACAAAAGAACAAATACTGATTATAAATTTCTCCTTTATATTTTTTCGACCTTCCCACTACGCTTGGAGCCTAGTTGGTACGTAGACCAGAGGAGAGACACTTGTTATTTCTGATATGCGTCTGTAAGTTTATTATTTTATGCTGTATACAAACGAGAAAATTGTTTTGTATTTAATGTTTCACTACACTTTACAACTAGGAGATAAAACCACTATATTATTCGTTAAAAGTTAAGCGGAGCGTTTTTGTTATTTCAGGAAGGTTATATTAAAATGCCAAGTACTCGGTTGAATATTTTATTTTAAATTTAAATGTAGGAATTTATATGACAAATGGTGGTATAAATTTTTCTGATGTGGGTGGATTTTATTGCTGTTTTCAAGCTTTTATTTATGTGGGTTCATATTTCTGACGTAAATAAGGATTCAGTTCATGAGCGGGAGTCGAGAGTTCCCTGGCTCACGAAATGAAATATAAGTGATTGGAGAGACGTAGTTTGACAGTGCTGGGAGGATATGTCTATTATTATTTATTATTATTATTATTATTATTATTATTATTATTATTATTATTATTATTGCCGTTGTTTTATTTTTATTAGTATTGTTGTTATTGTTATTGATTTTATTACTATCATACACTGGATATACCAAAACCAGCTCAATCCTAGAAAACAAATTGGTAGTTGTATTGTGCCTTCTACTCGCCTTATTGACAGCACCACGGTACCTCACTCACACTTTAAACTTACAATTGTAGTGAATAACCTGTCGACATTCTGTGCTGATTTATTACAAGAGAAAATATAACATTGCCTTTACTTTCGTTCAGTTCAATTCATGTTTGTATATTTATCTGTTAATGTTTGGTTAGTAATTTTCTTCAAATAATTACCTTGTACTTAAAGGGATACTGTCTAAGAGTCTATCTGTCTGTCTGTCTGCCTCTGTCATATCTGCGCCAAATCTGACCAGACGTCAAGGATGAACTATGTTAGGTGTCCAATTATCACTTCAACTTGGGGGAGTGGAGGTCAAAGGTCAGAGGTCAGGATTATTGGAAGTTAGATAATCATTTTTTAACTATGACTGGAACGAGGCGTGGTATAAGTAGGGGATTATAGCTCTTGGTGTGGAGGAGTAGCAGTAGGTGGAGGAGCTGGAGGATGAGGATGAGTAGCAGTAGGAGTAGGAGGAGGAAGAGGTGGAGGATGAGGATGAGTAGGAGTAGGATGGTCAGGGGGAGAGTTACTGACACTTGCCAACCATGACAAAACAAACGTGTGGAGGTAAGACGATTCATTGTTCGTGTTTTCATCCCAACTTTTGAAACACTACCACCGTGTTTGTTCCTTCCCTCCACATCTGCTAAGGGTTCTCAGATATCAATAAGGGTTTATATAAAAAAAAACCCACGTGTTTTTATGTTGTGTCCAGCAAGGTCAGGAGCCTCAACACAATAGCGAGAAACATTAAACATTGGTTGGGAAGAACTAAGGCTGGGGGGGTGTTGAGAGCCTCACCAAACACTTCAGCAGTTGACAATTTTTTTCTCTTTCAGTATCTTGGGATAATTCTCTACCACGTTATATAATACAGAATATCTAACCTAACATAACCCTCTATTGAATACTGAGAGATCTATTGGTATTAAGTTTAGCCCTGCGCCATCGCCTACTGCATCTCCGAGCAGGTATCACGAGTTTCCATTCCTGGCGAAGTGTACCTCACCTGGATAGAGAGAGTGAGAGGAAGGGGAAATAAAAGCTCCCCCCCTCCTCACCCTCCCCTCTCACCCCATCATTCAGATAGGTATTCCACCGGACTACAATTTCGTTCATTTAGCGGATTACAAACGATAACAGGAGTACCTTGCTTGTCTTGGTATAGCCCTCCCCCACCACCCCGTGTGATAGCGTAGTAAAGGTGTAGCTATTCAATCACAAACTCCCCATTTTATCTTCCCTATTTCTTGTGGGGTTTTTTCTCAGTTTCATAGTCTAGTATTCCCCATGGCCTCCTAAATGCATTACGTCTCGAGTGGTTTTCATTTGTTTCTTGATGGTAAATGCGTTTGAGGTCGGAATTAGACATTGATGGCGTTTTCTCTTCACTCCTGCCGCTGCCTCCGTCTCGCTCGTTCATTCACTCTCTCCTCTCTCTCCCCACCGTCTTGGTATATTTGTTAGTTTTCCAGCCCGTGTTTTGTTGTAGCCTCCTTCTTCTCTACATCCTCCTCTTGTCTCGTATCTCTTCCTCCTCTTCCTCTCCTCACCTCCTCCCCCTCCTCTTCCTCCCCCTCTCACCCTCTTCCTCCTCCTCTACACCCTCCTCTTCCTCTACACCCTCTTCCTCCTCCTCCTACACCCTCCTCTTCCTCCTATCTCATCCCAATGCTTCCCTGGTCTTGTTTATCTACTGAAGCTTTTCTGTCAACTCACACTGTCTCTCCCAGATTTAAGGAGTACAACATTTATTTAGCTTAAACTGTGTGTGTGTGTGTGTGTGTGTGCGTGTGTGTGTGTGTGTGCGTGTGTGTGTGTGTGTGTGTGTGTGTGTGTGTGTGTGTGTGTGTGTGTGTGCGTGACTGTCCTCGTCCAGATCTGCTTCCAGGTCATTTTGTCTCTTCCCAAAATAACTGTGGGCAGACCTTTTGGCCAGTTGGTGGCTTTGTTGGCCCTCCAGCTGGCTCCACGCCCCTCTCCAGCTGCTCCCTTTCTCTAGATGGCTCACACGGCCCTGCTCAGATGGCTCACACGGCCCTGCTCTAGATGGCTCATGGCCCTGCTCTGCTGGCTCACGGCCCTGCTCAGATGGCTCACACGGCACTGCTCTAGATGGCTCACACGGCCTGCTCCAGATGGCTCACAGCCCTGCTCCTAGATGGCTCACACGGCCCTGCTCTAGATGGCTCAGGCCCCTGCTAGATGGCTCACACGGCCCTGCTCTAGATGGCTCACGGCCCTGCTCTAGATGGCTCACACGGCCCTGCTCTAGATGGCTCACAGGCCCTGCTCTAGATGGCTCACGGCCCTGCTCTGATGGCTCACACGGCCCTGCTCTAGATGGCTCGACTTACGTGGTCAGATGAACACAAAATCCCAGCGGCGAAAACACAAACATTTAATATAGATCCAGTAAGAAAAATCCCAGCAGATGACAATCCCAGCAGAGATGATCAAGCGGTGCAATTAATCTCAGGGCAAACTCATAACAGCATGCTCTTGTTGGTGGTTAGGTTAGGTTACGTTAGGTTTTGTTGGGGTTAAGTTTATTTGGTATGGGTTAGGTTAGATAAGTCTGATTAAGTTGCGGCGGGTTAGGTTGTTACGGTGGGTTAGATTAAGTTAAGTTTGAGTGAGTTGGATTAAATTTCGTTGGGTTGATAAAGTAAAGGTTACATTAGGAATATTTCTCTTCGGTTGTGCATATCTCTGTCTCTCCTTCCTTCCTTCTTCCTTCCTTCCTTCCTTCCTTCTTCTTCTTCTTCTTCTTCACCTTCCTTCCTTCCTTCCTTCCTTCCTTCCTTCCTTCCTTCTTCCCTTCCTTCTTCCTTCCATTTCTTCTCTTCCTCCCTTCCTTCCTTCACTCCTCCCTCCCTCCTCCTCCTCCCTCCCTCCCTCCCTCCCTCCTCCCTCCCTCCTTCGCCCTTCCTCCCTCCCTCCCTCCCTCTCCTCCCTCCCTCCTTCCTTCCTTCCTTCCTTCCTTCCTTCCCACCATGACAAAACAAACCAAAACAAACAGTACACCAGCACCTCACCTCTGGGTACTCCTCCTTCAGGTATGGTAGCGCTCTTCAGGACGGTGGTCGGGGTGAGCCTAGTAAGCGGCCTGCTGGTGATGTTGCTATGGTCGGAGCAGCAGGTGGGCGTCAAGACTCCCGCCCACATACACTTCCACGCCCACGCCCGCGGTATCCCCGAGGGCGGCCCCAACTCGCAAGATGCTCAGGATACCGCCCCGGACTCAAGCTTCCAAAGTAAGTGGTTCATTGTTATGTTGGATGTGTGTGTGGGGGGGGGGGCGTCCGTACCTCCGTCTGGTAAGAGAGAGAGAGAGAGAGAGAGAGAGAGAGAGAGAGAGAGAGAGGACCCCACTGATAGTGTTATACGCGCGTGAGGAATAACTTTTACCTCTTTAACTTCCGCTAAACACAACTAATGATTGATTCTTGTTAACCCTTATTTAAAATCCACACTATTTACAGGTTAGGTTATGTATATGGAAGCACGGACGATTATTTAGAGTTTATTAGTAATTTTTATTGGTGATTTATATACGTGTTTGGTGGGGTTATATAAGTCATTGTATAAGTTGGTCATAATTCAAGATGTCGATTGCTCTCTCTCTCTCTCTCTCTCTCTCTCTCTCTCTCTCTGCTTCCCTCCCTCTCCCTTTCCCTACTTGTCTCCTTCCCTCTCTTCCTTCTTCTCCCTCTTCCTTCCTCCTTCCCTCACTCAGCTAGACAACGGAGTACGTGCTTGCAACTAAGTGACCTTCCCCTCTCGTTCTTCCTCTTTTCCTGCAGAGATACACTCAAGGTACATGACCCAAGCTGTGACTTCCCCTCCCTTCCTCCCTCCCTCCCCTTCCCTCTTCCCTCCTTCCCTCTTCCCCTGCACAGGATAATAACAGCTGCCTCTCGTTGTTAAGAAAGTCTGCCCTAAGGTTCCCAGACCAGATATATTTAGACGTACACAATACCGCCCACGTACACAGTCTTCGCCCATAATGTGCTCTGTAACCCACTGACAGGGAAGAATACAGTAAAACCGGACGACTCGCTCACCGCACTGGCTAACCAATTACCCCAAGAACATGATGGGACAGTTAATTAACATCCGGGTCAGCCATTACTCCCAGGTAAACGAAGACAAATGGTGGTCGGTAATTTCCCTGTAATCTCACCTGACCACACGTGAACAGGGAGGAAATAACCTACTGTGTGGTGGCCAGGTGACCCCTCCCTCCCTCCCATCTCTCCCTCCCTCCCTCTCTCCCTCCCTCCCTCTCTTCTCCCATCCTTCCTTCCATCCTTCCATTCCTCTCTTATCGCTCCCTCCCTTTCTCCCTTTTTCCCTCCATCTCTCTCTCTCTCCCACACTGTCATCGCCCACCACTAATTACTGTACCATCATTATCCTGTCCACAAATTTGGGTAATCTATGTTACAGTTATAATAATAGTTAATCATTACATCACTTAACCTGTTATATAATATTCAGTATCGAAAAAAAATATGAATTAGTTTGGTTTGTCTTATTTATATTTCTATACTGAGGTGTTTATAAAGTCCCTCTATACGTTGACACTTTAGTAAATTATTGAAGGTAAATTTATTAGAGTTTTCATACAATTACTGCAGATATTTCCACCTTTGAGCGTAAACCACTGTCTTTTGCGTTCCTTGTTCATACGGGAGCAGTAAGTCAAACACGGCAGGACGAGACCGTAGAGTTTATGCGTAATTTGTATCAGATGTTCGCTGTAACTGTCTCAGAGTACAGAGACATGTATGGCTTCAATTGTAGATAAAGAGAGAGAGAGAGAGAGAGAGAGAGAGGTAAAAATCAACAGGAAGAGGCGGTGAGATTCTGAGGTAACTTATGTACAATATGGGATAAAGTCTACGGTATTGTCCCACCGTGTTTGACTTACTCCTCATGATAAATGGTGGTTATGTTGAAAGGTTTGGACTATAGGCAGTAAATGTGTTAAGACTTTACTAAATTTGTCTTTTTTTACTCCATTTATAAATTTTTTATCATATATACATAGAAAGTTAGTCTTTAAACTGACGAGGCTTATCTCACAAGACACCGGGACCAACATCAAGGGAATACAGAGTTATGGTGTGTTGTTAGTCATTCTCTTTGACTGCTGTGTGACGGGTGTGTTCTGTTACAGTGTTCCCACATCAGGCTCGGGGCTTATTTGTTGTCTCTCCTGCCACTCCTCACCTACCATCATCACCACCCCCATCATCACCACCACAATCATCACTATAAGCCACTCATCACCACCCATCATCACCACCATCACTATAAGCCATTCTTCACTATGCTCTGATCAGTCCTATCTCTCCCATCACTCTCATAGCTTCTTCCTGGATATCCTACCCCTCTCATCCTATCCTTCCACCTCCTCCTTGACCTCCACCTCCTTCTCCTACTAACCTCTTCTGAAATAACATCCCCTTAAAACATCTGTTGCTTCCCATCTTCTTCATAATATTCATAAACACATTAATCACCAGCTGTCTCGTCTTCCACATCGTCTTATATCCCTGTTTCTGACTCCTTTCATCACGTCTGACCCCACAAATGACCCCCACTTAAAACTTTCCTCTTCCTCCTAATCTCTAATTCTTGATGGATTAATGTAATTATTATCCTTGTGATGCACTTAAAAAAAAACTTTTGCTCTGACTCACTCCCCCCCAAAAAAGTATCCTTACGAGTTTGTGTGAGGTAATATGACACAATGGACGAAGGATTTTGACAACCTTACCGAGACAACAGGAATCACAGTGTTCATTATGACATTTATCGGTCGCCTCCGTGAAGATACTTTTTTGTCGTGTGTGTGTGTGTGTGTGTGTGTGTGTGTGTGTGTGTGTGTGTGTGTGTGTACCGCTCCGTCTTATAACAGTTCTCTATCTCTGTTAGTTAATAATGATTTAGTTCCTCACTGTACGAGCTCTTCTATTTCTCTTGTCTTCCTTCCCCATTATTATGTCCGCTCTTTATTATTCATTTTATTACCTTTTCATCTTTTCTCTTACTTATTCTTCCTACATACATAAGTTTTTAATTTCTTTTTTTGCTTTTTCATTTTCCACATTATATTAACACACACACACACACACACACACACACACACACACACACACACACACACACATCACGTCAAAGCTTTTTAACTAAATTGGCATTAAAAATTAATTCGTCTGTGATATCAACATGGAACGACGGTTGATTGTTACTATAATAATATTTGTGTTTTGATGATATCTGTTCCACTGACACACACACGCACCACTACCTACCTACCTACCTACCTACCTACCTACCTACCTACCTACCTACTCCCCCCCCACCCCCACCCTCACTCACCCTCCTACCAATTACACACGAATTTCAGTCAGGATTTACTTGTTAATGGCCTCGTTCGCTCGTTTGTGTGTTTCCAGTGTTTTTGTATCGCTGTTTTCCTTCAGTCTTTTACTAAATTATATTGTTTGTGTTTGTCGGAAGAGTATTAAGTGTTTTTTTGTGTGTGTGTGTGTTTTTCGTTTTTAATTGTGCTTATACATATGACAGAGAGAGAGAGAGAGAGAGAGAGAGAGAGAGAGAGAGAGAGACACTAAGTTAGTATTGGAAGAGTGAATGAAGAGCGAGTCTAAAAAAGCAGAAGCGAGTTTGGAAAGTGTGAGAGAGTGAGTGAGCGAGTGGGCAGAAAAAAAGAGATAGCTAGCAGAAAGAAAGAAAGAGAGAAAAGAAAGAAAGTGAGAGTGATATATCGTGTGTAATGGGATGCTGGGAGCCTACCATTACGTATTCCAGGATCATCTAGGAAATGATGACCGCTATCCTCCAGGAAGAAATTCACACCCCTTATCACTTTTCCTTCACCACCTTACCCTTACCAGTTATTTCCTTGCCCTTAGCATAATCCCTTTACCCTTAGTGTCTCCCTTCATTCTTCCCCTTAACACTTCCCTCCCCACTCCCCAAGCTTCCTCCCCAAACTCTCCTCCTTGTAAATTTACTTGGCGTTAATACTACTCTTGGGGAGAGTTATGTTATGAGAGACGGTGTGAGAGGTGGGAGAGGAGGGAGATGAGGAAGGGAAGGAGAAGTAGGGAGAGGATGGAAGGGGAGGAAAGGTTTTGAAGCAGTGACGGAGATTGTCTGTCTGTCTGTTCCTGACTTAGTGAGAGACAACTTGATGGGCACGGGATTATCTGTCTGTCTGTCTGTCTGTCTGTCTGTCTGTCTTCAAATCTTCATAAAGTAAGTCTTCAAAGTTTGTTCTCACAGACCTTACTTTATACGGGAGGGAAGGAGGAGGGGAGAGAAGGGAGGGAAGATGGGAGGGAAGGGAGGGAAGATGGGAGGGAAGGGAGGGAAGATGGGAGGGAAGGGAGGGAAGATGGGAGGAAGGGAGGGAAGATGGGAAGGAGGGAAGAAGGGAGGGAAGATGGGAAGGAAGGGAGGGAAGATGGGAGGGAAGGGAAGGAAGATGGGAGGGAAGATGGGAGGGAAGGGAGATGAGAGGTCCCTTACAACACATCAAAACACCATCTGAAGTGTATAGTGATCTTGAGATAACATAGTTGTCCAGTGAGGTGTTTTGTATAGTGTCCACACGATTCTAGGTTAGATTAGGTTATGTTGGGTTAGGTTAGGTTAAGTGAGATTTGGTTTAGTTAGGTTTGGTTTGTTTAGGTTAGGTTTGGTTAGGTTAGGTTAGGTACTGCCGAGCTCTGAGAGGTTCAGGGTTGTTTACATCTTAGTGAAATACATGATTAAAGTTATTGGGCCACAGTGTTATGTAAAGGTAGGGAGAGTCGTCACAGATCACTCGATAACACACGTACACAAGCCGAGGGACACACACACACACACACACACACACATCTGAACACCGTATATAACATTAACGACAAATATCGAAAAACAAACAGAAAACATCAACAAACTGACGGAACTTCAAGACCAACACGAAATGTAAACAGGAATGCAAACAGGAATGTAAACAGGAATGTAAACGGGAATGTAAACAGGTTAATGGTGTGGCGAGAGAGGCACTGGAGGATAGGGTGAGGCCGGATGTAGTGAGAGAAGATGCATAAAGCTACAACACCAGGAGCCAGATGGGTTGGTTAATGGAAGCCGGATAGGAATTCAGGAGAGGGGGGGAAGAGATTCGTGGACAGCCCGGACTTGATAAAAGGGTGAGAGAGAGAGGAGAGAGAGAGAAGAGAGAGAGAGAGAGAGAGAGAGAGAGAGAGAGAGAGAGAGAGTATAGTGGTGTTATGGTGATGTGTGGTGCTCCTTCCTTCTGTCTGTAGCTCCACACACACACACACACACACACACACACACACACACACACACACACCAGGAGGGGGCGGGAAGACACCTGACACCTGCAGGTAATGAGAGCAAACTCAGTCTTATGGCGTGGACGACGGTGAGGCAGAACACAACATAGTAAACAAAACACAAAGTATAGTAACACAAAAGTAAAGTAACACAAAAGTACAGTAACACAAAATTAAAGTAACACAAAATTAAAGTAACACAAAAGTAAAGTAACACAAAAGTAAAGTAACACAAAAATAAGAAAAATAAGGGAAAATAACAAAATAGGCTAAAAGATCAGTAAAAACTAAAATACGGGATAATACGTGTGCCATCCATTGTGTGTATTCGATAACAACAAAACACAGTATCGAGAAAAACCCCACCAGATTGACAAATAATATAAATTGAATAACAACGAAAAAATACCAATAAACTGAAAGTAACAAATAAAAATCATTGTTAACATACCTAAACAAATAAACACAATGAATGTTTTTGTAAATACATATACAGGTGAGAACAAGAATATAAAGAATACATTAATTAATACAGGTACAACGAGAGACTACAGGTAAATTTCCTAACCTCATGTAATAGTAATGAGTTTATTGAGAACAGGTGAAGTAATTGTGGTAACTGTGTCAGTGAAGGAAGCGACAACACGGCAGGTTAATGAGGGGTGGGTGAGGGAGGTAAGGGTGGGCTGGGTGAGGGAGGTAAGGGGAGGGGTGGGTGAGGGAGGTAAGGGGAGAGCTGGGTGAAGAGGGTAAGGGAGGGCTGGATGAGGGAGGTAAGGGGAGAGGTGGGTGAGGAAGGTAAGGGAGGGCTGGGTGAGGGAGGTAAGGGGCTGGGGGTGAACACGATATGGGCGACTTGTGTCCACACACACTGGGAAATTATCCTGTGTGTGAGTGCCTTTGTTTGTGTGTGTGTTGCGTATGTGTTGAGTGTGTTTCGTATGTGTTTAGTGTGTGTTACATATGTGTTGAGTGTGTTTCGTATGTGTTTAGTGTGTGTTGCGTATGTGTTGAGTGTGTTGCGTAGGTGTTAAATGTGTTAAGTATGGTTTCAATGCTAATTATATCCACTTAAGAATACTATAAGCAACGAATTGATAATCTAAAGAATATTAATGGAAACAAATTTGTACTTTTAAACTAGAAATCAAATCTCACCCCACCTAACCTAACCTAACCTAACCTAACCTAACCTAACCTAACCTAACCATTACACTGTACCACCTTGAACTAACCTTTCCATTGTTCTTGTTAATAAAATAAATAGTGTGGAATGGTGAGGTAGTGTCAGTGTTGCCAGATATGGTGAGTGTAGGCTGTACCATACACCCCGTTGACTATCTAGTCCTTTGGGGGGGTTCACGGATCACTCGTTCTGGTAAAACTGTATCTGTGTGTGTATGTTGGTCATGGTCTCTCTGTTATTGACTTCAGTTCCAGTATTTCTTGTTATTTTTCTAGTGTAACGTAATCTGGTTCTATTGTCACGAGGCGATTATATTTATTACTTGTTACTTGCATTTGTAGTTATTTTTTTTATTGTCGTATTATTGTTATTTTTGTTACGAATTTATTTTTGTTATTGTTTTTATTGTTTGTAATTGTTATTGTTTGTTAGTTTATTATTACTGTTATTATATTTTATTTATTTATTTTGGTTACTGTACTTGGGTCAAACACGAATACTCACACCTCGTTAAACTTGGCAGATACGTTTTGCTTTTGGAAAGGTCAAAGGTGAGGGTCAGGACGCATACATAAGACGATTACCACACACAGAGAGACAGACCTGACCACTGTGTATACTGCATGTGTAAAACAGATTAAAGTCTGTGTAGGTAATAGACTTTTGAGAGAGGTATTAGGTGGTGGAAGGTTTGGCTATTGTGTGCGTGCCTGTCAGTTTGTCACCACCTTCCTCATGACTTGGCTGCTGGCACTGTTTTGTTTATAAGGTACATACATACATACATACATACATACATACATACATACATACAGGCAGATACAGAAGCCGTTGTAACTCTTATCATTTATAATTAAATTGTCAACGTGAAATCGGTAATACTTAAGGATTAATGTACCCACAGAGAGAGAGAGAGAGAGAGAGAGAGACCAAATCCCATAGTTTCACGGTATTTTCCAGACGATTTTTTTTGGGTTTACTCTTGTGACACAAACCAGGATAAACAAAAAGCATTGTTTACTTTGTTCTGTGTCGCTAATGGCTCTGTTTACCTGTCCGTGATGGTGACAGAGCCGGTCGGAAAGTTAACGTCATCGCCCATAACAGTATCACCTCTTGATTAACCACCCTCCTGCTTGTTTCACCTGAAGATTAACCACCCTAGCGCTACCTGGGAGGGTTAGGTTAGGTTAGATTAGGTTAAGTTAGGTTAAGTCAGGTTATGTTAGGTGAAAATAATTTAGGTTACTATAATGTTGTATCTCTCTATCTACAGTGAAAAAAGAAAGAAAGAAACTGACAGAGAGACAGACAGACAGAAAGAGACAAACATATATAAAAAAAGAAAAACAAACAGACGAAAACAGAAAAAAAATGCCAATGACTTTTTGACGATTTCGCTATTTGGTAATGTATCGGTTTCCTCACCAACTCCTAACTCATTATGAAAACGTAATTGAAACTTTACTCGTTAGTTGTGCAGCTTCATGACCGTGTGTGAGTTTATCTCGACGTTGGTGAAGTTGTAACTTTTCTAATTAAGGTAAAAAAAAAAATAATAATAATTCTCCAGAAATGAAAAATACATTTGTCCCGCTCTCTCTCTCTGTGTGTGTATTGTTATTGTGATGTGTTGGCACGGGAAATATTTTACCCCGCTGCCTCTTATGTCATTGTTTATTTTCTGTTTATCTGTCATTATTGTTATTTTTTTTCTACCGATTTTTATATATTGTGTTTGATATTATAAACATTTAATTTTATCTGTTATCGTTTATTTTTTATAAGAATTACACTGACATTAACCTTAACTAGATACGTTCACTTAACTCCAGACAAAGTTACATACTCTTTTGGTAACGATGCTGTGTTGTAACTCTACCCTCCTACTAACTGATATTAACTTTCAGTGTTATTTAACTTATTGTGATATCATTGTTTTGGAGTGAGTCTTAGCTGATGACAAGAAGTTTATGGTTAAGTTAGGATGGGATGGGCTGGGATGGATTTTTCATTTCTCTGAAGTTGAAATTTATGTTTACTGATAGTCGAATACAGGGCCTCTCTCTCTCTCTCTCTCTCTCTCTCTCAAGATGTTATTTACCTCAAGAGCGCAATAGCCAATGGGAGAGATTCATCCCGTGCACGAAAAAAAAAAGGTTTATGCCCCCTTCACCACAGAGTGCCACCATTACCACTAGTGCCACTCTCAGGAGCCAGTTAGTGCCTCACATAATAAGGGTTGAGTGCTTGCTTCATACAGAGGACCAAACCAACGCTCTGTTCTCCATCCACCAGCAGTTTATGTTATGGAGTCATGCACTTGCTTATCTTCCTGTATTGCGTCTCTTGTAACTCTGCTGTGCCCTGTGTGCGTGTGTGTGTGTGTGTGTGTGTGCGTGTGCGTGTGTGTGTTTGGTAAGGAATCAGGATACTCTGTATATATTTCTTTCCACAATAGTAATACCTTCCTATTTTTTTTTTCATTATTCCATTTTCTCTTATTTTTCGTCTTCGTGTGTATTCCCGTTTTCTATGTTATTTTAGGGGTGACTTGAATGGGTTTTTTTTTATCATGAGTAAAAATCCTTCCCCACTGACCATTCCTCTTCTCCATTTCTCTCCGCCTACCATCTCTCACCCCCACCCCTCCCCTCTCCTACGTTAAAGCTATTTTCTGGTTGGTATACTCGGCCTTGCCCATCCTGCCAGATTCTCAAAATAAACAGAAATAATTAAATGTCAATATCAGCAAGTCGGTCGCCTCATTAGCGTGTGATGGGACCTATTCCATGGCTAAAAGATGAACCACTTGTGTATGTCTTGATGTGCTGGCTGATTTATTATTTATATTCTCATTATTTAACCTGTTTATCTCCTTACTTACCTCTCTCTGTCTGTCTATGTACTGTATGTGTGTCTTTCAGCAGTACACAGGTTTTCCAGCAATCCAGGAAGTTGGCGTCATGTGCCCAGTAATTCCTCTTCTGCGATCTCAGGTGTTAAAGCATAGATACCAGATAAACGAGACGAAAAATAACAAGTGTGTTCAACCAATCTATTTCAACCTCCGCTCACAGCAACATAGTCATGCGTTCCCTGTATTGTTATTACCACATGAAGACGTCTAGTTCTCGGTAGTTGGAACCTCTAGTAAAAGTGTTGAATCCTCTATATAAAGATTCCTATCCCTTATGATTTTGTCGATGCTTTAGTGTAGTTTCAAACCTTATGATGTATTTAAGATTTTATATTGTCGTTGAAGCTCATTCATAACAGTATATCATCTTCATTCTCCAGGTGAATCATTATTCATAGGTATCGATTCCCAGTCCGTGTTCTCAAGGTAAATTTTTTCTTCTTCTTTATCTTTTCTTCGTCAGGTTTATCGGTGAAGTTCGGGGCGCCACGGACTGTTCTCTCCTCACATAATATCACCTTTCTGGGGAATAAGACAGTGGAGGCTGGTGTGACGACTTCTCCTGGGCACCACGAGGCCACCGGCCAGTCAAGCCACGTCCCCGCCCAGGCCAGCCACGCCCCCGACACCACTACCTCCATCAACGGCAGCAAGTTAGTTTTCACCATCGACCAGAGCGACCCCAGCCCCGCCACGCCCAAAATCTACGTCATCACGCCCACATATCGACGGCCTGAGCAGGTACTCAATTATACCCCACACACACACACTCTTGTTATTGTAGCTCCTCGTGGCAGTAATGTTTTAGACTCAAGAGGGTGAACGGTCCCTTTTGAGAGTAGTGATTTAACCCTTTGTATATAATGACTTAAACCTGTGAGGGTGATGACTTATCCCCGTGAATCTGGTAGCTTAAGTCATCACACTCAAGGGATTAAGTCATCACACAGGAGGTTAAATCACCAACACTCGAGGAATTACCTCCTGGCCAGTTAACCTCTAGTACTACCTCCACACCATCAACACCACTAGATTACCCTCAAAAATGACCGTAAACTGCACCAATAATCACTAGAGGTGGTCAGGTGTTATATAGCGCGGGTTGGTCACTCACACACTAGACTGGTCGACTGGTGACGTATCTCGTTGTTGGACAAGAGGTTGAGGGATCGACCCGTACCTCACAACTGGTGCCAGGGAGGTGGAATAGAGTGTGTGTGTGTGTGTGTGTGTGTGTGTGTGTGTTTCACTGATCGTACGTCCATTATTATATAGGTAAGGTTAGGTTAGGTTAGGTTAATTTACGTTTGAGTACAGTTAGGGTAGTATAGGTTATGTTTGGTCCAGGAAGGTGAGGTTAGTATAAATTAGATCTAGTGATGTGATCTTGAGCTAAATTCATGTACTCTGCAGAAGATAACATAGGGATGAATTTCCACCTGCAACAGACTACTAATGAACACACAATACACCTGTTAGAGAACTTCACTTTCTCTCTCCGTAACAGTGAGAAAAGAATCCTCGGGCTGTCTCTATATGGTAATGAGTAGACAAGAGTTAGGGTCACATCTCTTCCCCAATTTAAAGTTAATCGAACAAGTGGTTAAAAGAATGATGCTGGAAACATTTCTTGAGTGAATAGGTGGAGGGCCGGGTGAATGGACTGGTGGATGAATGGATTGGCGGGCAGGTGGGTGGATGAACGGACGGACAATGACTTTGAGTCCTGGGCTCTAGTAGCTGTAGGAGACGATGACAAGTACACTCTACCGCCTACATTCCTGGTCCACCTACATCCTGGTCCACCCACACCCCTGGTCCACCTACACCCCTGGTCCACCTACACCCCTGGTCCACCTACACCCCTGGTCCACCTACACCCCTGGTCCACCTACACCCCTGGTCCACCTACACCCTGGTCCACCTACACCCTGGTCCACCTACACCCTGGTCCACCCACACCCCTGGTCCACCTACACCCCTGGTCCACCCACACCCCTGGTCCACCTACACCCTTGGTTCAGTACTGTATGTGTGTCTTACCACCACTCTCACTCAGACCTCTATCGATGAATGAGCAGCTGACCATGAGTGTGCAGATGTTGTTGTTCTTCAGTGTAGCTTCCAACTCCTCCGTATCATGAAGGGCCAGTGTTTTTATTGTGATTTTTTACCCTTAAGTGTACTGTATGTCCTAAAATGCCGGAGACTTTAGTGTATCTTAAAATTCAAGGGAGGGTATATAGCCTGAGTCAACTTCCATAGACGTACGTGAACCCTGTAGTCTTCCCGGTGTCTCCTCCCGTTCCTCACCTAACTACTTCTATTCCTTTCATCATCAACAACACCATCATCTCATATTAACACACATTCACACCCCTCCACCCCAGCAGCGCCACCATCACCACCACCTTACAAGATAGTGTCGTTTGGTACAGTCTTCCGGAGGCTGTGGTGGTGGCCGTCGTGTTTGGCTTCGGGCGGTACGAGGAATTCTTTTTAAGGGGAGCGAGGAAAGCGCTGAATTTGTGTGTGAATGTTAAACAACCGCGTCGCCCCAATCCTTCTCTTCCAACAGACGTAAAAGAAAAATGTTTGAATCTTTTTTTTTTTTTTTACAATTGGAATTTCATGTATTTTTATTTTTATTGTTTTTATAGCAGATTTACCATGTTTTTGTTTTCATGAGTGACGTGGGTTAGGGAGAGGCTTGTATACTCTTTAGTGCTGTCTCCTGTATTCACATTCAGACACAAACTCTTACTGAATCTCTAACCTTCGGATGTTGTTCCGTATAACGAGTATAACACAAGTTCACATAGTCGGGATAGAAAGCCCGATGGTTATACCTGTGATGTAAAGACCTGTGAATACTAACTGACAGGTAGTATAGCTCAACTCCATAACGCTGTCGCTGCATTTACTGATAAACTGGTACAGTATTACCAACTACATCAACTGGACACAAAACCCAATCTAACCCCATGTAGATGTACGGGACACTCAGTACTTGGTGGCAGTAACACGGGTGATTGACGCGGCACAATATCCATATCGACACAATTGGCTGGTTGTGTCAGGGATAGTCTGTTTGTTTGTTTTGCTTTATGTCAGAGAATTAATTATGTAGGTAGTGTGGTGGTACAGTTGTTCTTCCTCTGGGTAATATACTAATACTAAGGCTTTGTTTTTATCATAGTACAACACACGTACACAAATATATGTAAACTCTGGAATTTTCTTACACACACACACACACACACACACACACACACTCTCCTAGGTTCTTTTATGTGTGCACTATATAATGGTTGCCCCTCGTGTTTGAGGATGGCCGTCACTAGGGCCTCCTAGGTGTGAATTTGTTTAGTGTAGAAGCTGTCGCCAACACAACAACCACACCCTGAGTTAACGAAATATATAGCATATTATTATATTCGCTGTACATAGACAGTGCAGGTATACAAACAGTGGTAAACAATATGTCCAATAAGCTCGTATCCATTCGGGTACAAAGGTTTCAAAGTTATTACAGTAACGCTCACAATTGCAACACACACACACACACACATGTATATTGTACAGTATGTACTGTATTCCACACATATTCGTACACAGAAAAAAGTAAAGGGACTTATTGGTGTGGGTAAAAACAGCTGTTATTTATTATTATTTACACACAGGTGGCGGAGCTGACGAGGTTGGCCCAGACTTTAATGCTGGTACCTAACCTACACTGGCTGGTGGTGGAGGACGCTGTCGCCCCCACCAGGAGAGTGTTGTCCTTCCTCGACACCTGCAGCGTCCCCCACACCTACCTCCTCGGTGAGTCATGGACCTTCCCCAAACTACTTTAGATATATCCCAGTATTTTGGTGGAAATATTGTTTTTTTAAGCATATAATTACTTTGTTTACACCTAAGGTGTTGTGCTTTAATCCAGACTCTTAACTGTGTCCATGGTTATAACACACACACACTCGACACTGCTACCTGTAGATGTAAATTATAGTCAGACAGTGTTTTGTCTTCCCGTTAAAGTCACCTAGTGTTTACTGAACACACTCAGTTGAGCTGTTTTGTAATGACACCAGTGCTCGTGTTGGTCCAGACATCAACATGTACAGTACAGTCGCCGATGACATACTCTGGACACGTCTGGTAGCACCATCTATGAGTACAGTAATGATGCCAGACGTCCACAGTATTTCGTTGGCGAGGATTGTTTTAAAGCGTTGGGCCGCCACCTCTCATGACTAAATAACCTTCATGAGGGAGAAAAATCAACTATGTTTAAATATCATACAAAGGTACTACTCTAATTTATGCTGATTAAGGTTCTGGGTTCACAATTTAAAAATTTGGTTAATTAGAGTTAATTAATGACCTTTGAATTAATAAAGATATTAAAAAAGTAAATTACGCTGTGCCCGTAAGTTTTAAATCGTCTTTATGTACATTTTCTAAAAAATATAGACTGTCAGGGTGTTTACTGGTGGATAACCTGGAAAAGCCAGGGAATATTACAAATAAACCTGAAATTTTATGTGAATTCAGTTCAACTTCAAAATATTGTTATTTTGACAGCAATTTTACCATAAATTAATGATGTACTGTATAATAGGTAAATAATTAAACTTTTAGGAACAAATTCCAGTAAATATTCCACTCCAATAACTGAATTATTTGTGTACCTGTCATATTTCATGTTAGCGATGAAATAACCAAATATTTGGTTATATCTGCTAATGCTGCAATAAGTATTGTTAGAGATGAATATTGTTCTTATAATTAAGTGACTTAAGTGGATTATTCCACATATTAATCATGAGTCATATAGGTGGATCAGGAGTGTGATTTTGTATTTATTACATTGTTTTTTTTGATGGATTACTGGCGTTTTTTAATTTTTTTTTTGGTAACGTCCAGGTCGACCCACGTGAATCGCAAAAATCCAAGGAGAAAGATATGGAGGTCATGGTCTTTGCCCATATTCATCACTAGGCTTGGGGGTCATAGTCTTTGCCCATGGTCATCACTAGGCTTGGAGGGGGGTCATGGTCTTTGCCCATGGTCATCACTAGGCTTGGGGTGGGTCGCTAAAAGGTCTTCATTTTCTTGATTAATATCATTATCATCATCTTTCAATTTACCAATAGTATATACATATTATTGAAAACCTCTAATTTTGTTATTCTGTTGTAATAAATACCGAATTAATGTACAGTCTCGTTCAGGATTCTTCGAACACTGCTGGAAACAGCTGGCAACTCGAGGCCGTTTGTTTACTCAATTTTCAATTTCAATTGTTTATTCCTTGATAGAGGAAGCGGGATCCTAGTGCTGTCACTAGGTACCTCTGTACAATGACACCAGAAGCATCTGGCAAGTGTGACAAGTATATACAGTATAAATATTATAAAGGGGTTTACTAAAGCCTAAGGAAGGAAGGAAGGAAGGAAGGATATTCCTTTAACACATAATCAATATTATTTACAAAATATCTGGCCAGTATGGGGAGGATCATCGTGTCTCCGTCAGGGGGTTGTTTGTTTACTTTAGTACGTAGTATAATACGAAACAAACAACCCCAACCATTAATTAAGCAACAGGGAACTAAGTAACCAATCACCGATCACTTTTACATTCATTCTTAATTCTTACTACGTACTATAAAACAAACGGCCTTGAGTTGCCAGCAGTGTTCGAAGAATCTTGAACGAGACAAAACCTGGAATTTTTAAGATTTACTCCTGGAAAATACAGGGAATTTTGTTTTGTCTGGGCAGTAGACACCCTGGTATAGGATTAGTTCTTGTTAAGGACATTATTCTTGCGCCAAAATTTAAAGAAAGATGTAGAGGAATGGAGTTTTAATGATAATTTTTAAATGGCTGTTGGAAAGACATTAATTTTCGCTTTAGTTTAAATAAATTATGGATGGTGATTTAGGGAGTGGTTATTGTGTGCTCTCTCTCTCTCTCTACAAAATTAACCAAGAAACAAATGAAATATTAATCTATATACCAGAGTTTGTTGTTGCTAATAAGCCACTAATAAATAAATGCTATGTTCCTTATCGTCAACCACCATCCCTGGCTGGACGGCAAGGCATGGCATCAAGACGGTACAAGGGCGCCAACAAACCCCGTGGGGTCAGTAACCGCAACGCTGGCCTCAAGTGGCTCAAAGGACACGCCAAGGAAGGCATCATCTACTTCGCTGACGATGACAATACCTACGACTATCGCATCTTCCAGGAGGTGAGTGTTGTCTGCCTCCTCCAGCCTTCATGTGCTGCCCAGGTTAGGAAGAGGTGGCTCGCCTCGTGTTGGGTGAAGGTATTATATCTTACTTTTCCCCTCATTCTCATTTTCTCTTTCCCCCTCCCTCTCACACTCTGAAGGGTACCACCACTTGTTGCAATCATCACGAGAAGTTAGACACATGTTAACTTCAGTGTCAAGGATGTAACTAATACACTGTTTATAATTTCTATTTCAATGCAAAATATAGGAAGAATAGAGTCCCTCTTCACCTCAACGGAAAATGATAGTTGATGTTGAAACTGTATTGAAATAGAAGTTTTTATTTATCACGGATGAGTGTTCACACCTAACCCAACCCAACCTCACCTCACCCCACCTAACCTCACTTAAATTACCTTCCCTCCCCTTCCATCACCCTACCTTACCTCGCCACCCCTACCCTTCCCCTCCTCTCCTCACCTCCCTTCCCTTCACCTCCCTCCCCCACTGTATAGTATACAGAATACCACTTGTGTCGTCAGATCCGTGAGACGAAGCAGGTGTCCATGTTCCCTGTGGGTCTGGTAACTCGACTCGGAGTGTCTTCCCCTATTGTCTCCGGCGGGAAGATCATCGGGTTCTACGACGGTTGGATCGCCGGCAGGAAGTTCCCCGTCGACATGGCTGGCTTCGCTGTCAACGTTAAATTTTATCTTAAGGTCATCATTAACTTACATACATAAGAAGTTGTTGGTTTACATACTATTTAAATATTTGTTGTTACTGTGGTCACTATTTTCTATAATTCATTTGCATATTGTTTAGGTTTTTCTAAGTAAATTGGTAAAGCATTCTGAATTGTTAAGCTTTGTAAATTGGCACGGGAAACTATTCAGCTTTGTACAATGTCACTGTGAATAATTAAGCTTTGCAAATTGGCACTGTAAATTAGTCTTTGCAAATTGATATACTGTAAGTTATTAAGCTTTGTGTGTACTACATTACTAAGAGAAGTATTATGAATGACAGAAAAATGCTCCTCTGATGCCGTACAATGTTGGCTTCGAGGAGGACGGTTTTCTGAAGGCACTCAAGATCAAGCCTGAGGAGATCGAACCATTGGCTGACAACTGTACCAAGGTGAGGCTTAACTCCTTCAGGCACTCTTAATACCTTGGCTTGGTCTCCTCTCTCCTTGGTCATTACATAGACACATCACTCGTTCAGTCATTCTTTCATTTTTTTTTCACTATGTCATTCAATCGGTGACTCACTCACTCACTCACTCACTACCTCCCTCCCTCCATCACTCACTTCCACTTTCCCTCTCCCTCATTACCTACAACTCTCATCCCTTCCCTCCCCCAACTCAGTCACTCCCTTACTCACTCCTATATTACTTCCCTCCCTCATTATCTACCTCCATAACCCCCCCCCCCCTGTACCTGTACCTATTTTTGAAGATAATATATAACAACCATTCTCCTAACAGTCTACACACATTCCAAAAAAGTTTCGCTTACGGAGAGGTTCTATGAATTTCAAAATGAACACTACGACTCCTGTTGTCTCGGTAGGGTTGTCAAAATCCTTCGTCTGTTGTCATATTGTGTCTCACAAAATCGTAAAGATACTTTTTAGAGTGTGTGTATATTTTGTTAGAATTGTAGATTTGGGTGTGTATTGTAGCTGTTTGATTAATATGCTGTATTGTATAATTAACTCTAAAATAGTCATAGATTTGATATACAGTACACTGACCTTTTATATTCATTGCAAACCATTGAATTGGGTCCTTAGAATTTACAGTTAGTTTTTTTTTTTCACTTTCTCCTATATGACAAAAAAAGTCAGATTTTTACCTTGCATTCTATAATTTGACAGATAAATCAGATCTTTACCGTGTCTTTCATAATTTGGCAGATAATTCCGCTTTCTACCTTGTCTTCCATGATTTGGCAGATTCTTGTCTGGCACACCCGGACAGTCAAAAGTCTACCAGCCCTGAAGATGCCCGACTCAGACAAGGTCACTAAAACTAACCTCAACTATCTCAAGTCACAGATGGTCTTTCAGTTGCCTTATGGACTCTCCTAGTTAAGGCATCAAGAAGAGTCCCTCACCTCCACCTTCCTCCACCCCTCAGCGACCGTAACTGCAGCCTACACACACACACACACACATAATTAAGGGTCTTTGGTTTTGTCATTTGTATAATACTGCACTACATAATGTATTGAGGGAACAAGGGAATATTTTGTAGGAGGTAGTACAGTATTTAGACATCTTTAGTACTAACTGTAGTCATCTTTATCCTCAGTACTGTAGTTAAGCTTTTATTTTTATTATTATTTAGATTGGGCTGTTTTTATTCTGATGGACTAAATGTGTATGTTTATGTATGGATGTGTATGGTGTATAATTACCCCAATTGGATGTGTATGAGTTATAATTATCTCAATCGATAAGATAAAGACAAATTTCATGTTTGAGAAAAAAATTTACCAATGAAAATCCTTTAGGCAGAACAATAATGAATGAAGGGTTTAACGTATAGGCATTTATTTCTCATCGATAATTAATTAGTTCATTAAAACACTTAACTTCACAGCTTCATTCATTCACTCATTCATTCATTATCATCAAGTTTGTAGATCTGGCAACGATGAGACTTGTTTTATATTTGTCTTGAAACACCATCATGATTATAGGTTGTCTCAAAAAAATGTTAACAAACTTATGTCAACAATGCCTGGTAAGTATGTATACATTTTTTTGTGAAACTCCCTTAAAACTCCTTTCCCCGCCAGTGTCCTGCTGCACAAAATGGACCAGAAGTTGACGCTTTTATTTTCTCTAACTTTCTCCACTTACTTGCCTTAATGTATTCACTCAAGGGTCTTATATAGAGTAGGCTTGTAGGATACAGTATCTCTCCAACTTCATGTAAAATTATTATAAAAAAAAAAACCCCATAGAATCGAAATATAAAAGTTGTCCCCAAATTGGTACTGTATTATGGTTAGGCGAGTGGGTGTAGTAGAGGGATATTCTCGGCAGTATATAGGTTATTTTTAAGTAATACAAGTATAGACGCCACTCAAGCTTTCAATCAGGCTATCCAATCACTTACAAGATCTGCTTTAGGTAGGCCGCTGTTAGGTAGTAGTCAAGGAGAGTTACTACAAGTACAGTACACAGTTAGACCACCACTATGACTAACACGTCTACAGGAGGAAATATTTATTTAGTTTGTTATACAGGTTATTTACCAACAACATATGATGGATATATTAGGTGGGTAGCAACATGATGGGTTTATAATAACATTGTAAGAGAATGAGTTGATAATGTTAAAATAAAAACTATACAAACTGTACTGTACATGACAACAACAATAAGAGTTGAACTGTTTACAATACAATAGATGTTTTGTATATACCGTGATACATGGGAGTCAGGGAGTGATATTGAGGCACACTCCATGCTAACTAGTTACAGTCTTCAGTGCTGTGCGATTCAGTGTTGTCTTTGTATTCCTATCGTAGATGTACGAACCACAAGCTGACAAAAGTAGTATTAAATAATTAAAAGTAATGTCCATATATGTGAACTTCCATGTTTTGTAGTGACGCAAGATTTTGATAAATTTACTTATTCGTACACCCACATTAAAAGAGAAACTAGATTAAAAATTATACCAAGTTTGAAGGCTTTGTTAAAAATCATCGTTTGTGTATGACAGATGCCTGTAACTTAACACTTGTGTGAATTATTATTATTATTATTATCTAAACTACAGTGATTCAGGTTATATAAAACAACCAGTACACGAAGAGACAAGACCACAGCCTAGCTTAGACCAACACCACCATTGACCCACTCAATAGGATTTACGTCTAGAAGAAAATTGAGTCTTGTATCTATCTACAGTACTTCTCTAAACACAATAGTTTTATAAAACACTTTACACAGCCTGGTATAATGTGTTAGCTGTAAATATTACCTCTACATCAAGCCTCATAACTTCAGGTAATTTATTGAAGATTTTTCGTACCTAAAGAAGCCAACAAACTCTGTCAAAATAATTCATGATGCACAAAAAAAAACACACTCACTGCATACTAAAATTTTTATTTTCCCAGTGGAGTTACCTTTGAGCGATATGCAGGTCTTGTAAAGGTAATCTGCGCTTTTGTCATACCAGGAGTCAAAATCATGTTTGGGCAACGTTACAAAAACATGGCTGTATTACACTCACCCATGATAATGATGGCTGGCAAGGAGACCTGTGCTGTTGGCTAGCTAGGAGATTCACATTGTTGGCTAGCTAGGAGACCCATGCTATTAATTAACTATGAGACCCATGCTGTTGGCTAGTTAGCAGACCCATGCTGTTGGTTAGCTAGGAGAGCTGTGCTGTTGGGTAAGATATTTGCCATCAGCTTCATACTAGGCTACCACACACTGTTAATTCATTACCTTTGAAACTTTGTACTGTACTGTATGTAGCACACAAGTAGTAGAGGCAGAGTGTGTACTGGACTAGATGTTGTTTCAAAGTACAGTACTTTATAACCAATGTACAATATTTCACTCGTAAAAACAAAACAAATTCTGATAACTCTTTGGTATTGATCAAGGTGATTGGTAAAGAATGCATGATGGCTGCCACTTCATTGAACAAGTGATACAAATAGGTATGTTAAATATGTTATCCATGAAGTTTACATAGCTGAAGAAACTAACCAGGCGTATGTTTCTCAAGTGGTTATGAATGATGAAAACGCGCTAGAAAGTGGTATAAAGCCTGGAAATGTTTACTAATTCGAGTATAACACGCAACTTATTGCTCTGTAGCACACACGTATCTCATCTGCCAGTGTTGTCAAAGAAAGTGATCTCTCTACATCTTAGAAGTTTTAGCTGTTGATGACTAGCGTAAGTGTAAATCTGAATATGCGCTGAAAGACCTAAGTTATTAAAGCATAGTGATACATTATATTATTATAACAGGAACAACCAACACATTATACGATACAGCTTTCTTATCAACGATATATTTTCTAAACATCTGCGTAATAAAACTTGAACTAGTACTTATAATTCTACTAATTAAATATTTATGAAACACACTTTATAGAATTTTGCATTAGAGTTTCATCGTCATCAATATTAAAGTAATTTCATGATGACGTTAAAGATATATGTAGCAAAGGTTCAAATGTTGTTATTATTATTCAATGTTCAAATATAGAAGATTTTGATATATTAAATTAAGTAAAAATAATCCTGAATAATATAGATTGAGGCTACTGTACTGTGGTATAATACAGTTGGGGTAATTTGTTTGTCAGACCAGTGATGTTTTCATTAGGAATGTTACACCAGTGGTAGAGTAAATCCCAACTGTGTATTCTATCAAAACATCTTATTCATTATTATTTTTCACAGTACAGTATACAAAAATAGGCTATAAAGGGAAACGCCTTTTCACACATGATCGATAGTACAGTACAGGAAGTCTGCCAAGATGAGTGAGTGTCAGGTAGAGTATGTCTGCTGGGAAAAAAGAATACTTGTTTGATATTTTCTCTACTAAGTTTTGGTAGAACAATGTAGAGTCTTGGGACTGTATGTTGTGCTGTTAGTGTCAAATTACTTGTAGTTTTTTAACATAAGTTTAAAAAAAAGATTCATGGACATTTGTAAACTGATAAATATTGTTTTCTTTGTCTCATCTGAATGTATGGTATAACGATATATTTTTGCACAATAAAAATGGTATTATAAAAGGGTTGAATTATTTACCGGGTGATTAACTCATCTGCCAATAACAACACTAATATTAGAATCTTCTCAAAATATAATAAAATAGATTAGAATCTTACAGCATGATCTAACTTATTAACATAATAATAATCAGATGTCTCAGTTGGAAAGATTCTGTACAAATTGCTGCTGCTGCCATACAAGAGAGGCACCACAACGAATGTGACGAGAAGAAAGAACCTGTATGGCTACTTTGTCTTCCCAATGATACCCAACCATCCTATTCAGAATTTAAAAATTCGAGTAATTGTTGTTAATTAATGACTTGAAATAATTAAAGATATTTAAAATATTAAAAAGACAGTTGCACTGTGCGCTTAAGTTTTAAAACATTATATATATTTTCTTAAAAATATTGGCCATCTTTACTATATAAACACACTAGTTTTAACTTTCCATCATTTGACGTCAAACTATGCCTGACCTAATAGTTAGATTTTGGCACTTGGGGTCATACCATGGATTTTCTTCAAATTTCAGACAAGGGTACTACTGTACTGTTCATGCTGATTAAGTGATTAAGTAGTTAGACGCATTAAATTTCATTTCTGAGAAAAAGTGCTTATGACCTAAAATCCTGTAAGGGTTATTTGGCTTACTGTTTCAGAATTAATCTTATCTCACCGATTTTGTTAAAAATACCAATATGTGTACTCCTGAATATGCTTATAACACCCCAAGAGCAATCATAACTGTGTGTGACTATGTATCATCAAACATGTCCCTGCCCATGGGCCATTTTTGTTTTGAGTATTGAGTCACAACAAAAGACATCGTAGCTTAAGTTATGGCCATTTTTTTTTCATTATCCAGCCCCTCGATGCTCTATAGGAAAAGGATTGGGCACCAAAAGAACATTAACGCACAGCTCTAGGCTCCTCAAATCCTCCTTTTCTGCCTGCTCCCTGGACTACTGCCCCGTGAGCCTCCACGCCCAGGGTGCTTTAATAACTTATGTACGGAATGCGTCGTTGATCAGACAATTGTTTGTCATACATGTAAAATGTGAACCTTACCGACTGTCTCGTGACCTACAATAGTTCCACTCACAAATATAATTAATGTTTCCAATGTGGATTCCGCTCCCATACGAGGTCACTGGACTTGGCAATTAGAGCATACCAAAGCTTCCTTGGACCTCATTATTCACCAGTTCCTTGAGTTACATTCGAACGTAACTATCACCTCAGCTCCTCTAACTACCCCCTCACGTAGAGTTCTGAGTAGGAAAAAAAGAGGTTTCCAAAATTTCCTCAGATACGCTCAGATGTGGTAGCCACAGAGGATGACCTGGACAATTTGCAAAAACAGAGAAATGCCCTAAAACTTCAAGCTGATCAGCATGCAGCTGTACTGATCAGTCAATCTTACTTGTTAGCTAACCGTGGTAAGCCGTCAGATAAGATCACGAGTACTGTACAATACTATGAATCAGATAGTCAGTGACATTAAAGTTTCCACAATTAACTTGCATGATGGTGACAACTCTGGTCGATTCCTTGTCGGACCAAGTAGAGTATTATCGTAATTACTTCATGGCTCTAATAACTAATTTAAATTTGCTGAATGAAGGAAATGTCACTCCCAATTTACTTCCGTTTAGTTAATTAGTCAAGAGCGTGGAAATAGCTCCTAGCTTTCAGAACTTGGGCCCTACGGTTCCCACGGACGGCTTAGAGAATTATTACAGTTTGGTCTTCGTTTCTGTCAAACACATCTTAGACAAATATTAACCATTGCACTTATGCACAATTAATTGTAAAAAGATCTTGGGTACTGTTTTCTTGTTTTTCCTGCAGGAAGTTCCCGTGAGTGTAGCCTGTCCTACTGAGCCACCAGCCTCACTGTGGGTCAGGGATGGTATGTTCTACCTCAAGAAAAATCTTTGTCCTCAAGCCTTAGGACAATGCGAGGAGCAACACTTCATAACACATCAATTATTCTAAGGAAATCCATCATAGCCCGTATTGTAAAGGCGCAGAAGATAAAGCCTGCATTTGAAATTGAGAACCTCACTTGTGTAAAAGGAAGTACTGATGGAAAGTACTGTATATGTTTGGTCGCCCATGAACGTTATTGACAGTGTAAACCAGTGGTCCCCAACCTGCAGTTCGACGCCCGCATAACCGTATTATGGAGCC